GGTGAGTCATCCCATTCATATTCAGTTATGATTACTATGTATTTTCCTTCATCCTTATCCTTCTCTCTTCTTTCACCCCATCCCTCCTCAAAAGTGTTTTGCTTCTGAACACTGTCTCCCTCAATCCATCCTGCCTTCTCTTGTTCCTCTCCCTTCCTGCTTCCCAATAGAGTATGATAAATTTCTATACCCACCTTAGTGTATATATTATTTCCTCTTTGAGATAATTCAGATAAGTGTAAGGTTCAAGCATTGCCCACCATCCCCACCACCACCATTTTTTCTTCCACGGTAAAATCTCTTTTGTGCCTCTTTTATGTGAGATCACTTATCCCATTCTGCTTGTCCCTTTCCCCTTCTTCCAGTGCATTCCTTTTTCTCACCCCTTATAATTTTTTTCAATGTCATCTTATCATAGTCAACTCAACTCATACCATACCCTCTGTCTAGTTACAATCCTTATAACTACCTTGATAAAGTTTTTAGGCATTACAAGTATCATCCCATGTAGGAATAAAAACAGTTTAACCTTATTGAGTCCCTTATAATTTCTCTTTCAAGTTATGCTTCTCTTGAGTCTTGTATTTGAAAGTCGAATTTTCTATTCAGTTCTGGTCTTTTCATCAGGAATTCTTAGAAGTTCTCTGTTTCATTAAATATCCACACTACCACCAACCCCTCCCCACCCCCCTAAGAATTATACTCAATTTTGCTGGGTAGGGGATTCATGATTGCAATCCTAGCTCCTTTGCTCTTCAGAATACTATATTCCAAGCCCTCTGATCCTTCAATGTAGTACTCGCTAAATCTTGTTACCCTGAATGTGGCTCCACCACATCTGAATTGTTTCTTTCTGGCTGTTTGCAGCATTTTCTCCTTGACCTGGGGGTTCTGGAATTTGGCTATAATATCCCTGGGAATTTCCATGTTGTGATCTCTTTCATGAGGTGATCAGTAGTTTCTTTCGATTTCTATTTTACCCATTGCTTCCAGAATATTAGGGCAGTTTTCCTTGATAATTTCTTGAAAGATGATGTCTAGGTCCTTTTTTGTGTGTGTGTGATCATGGCTTTTAGATAGCGTAATAATTCTTAAATTATCTCTCCCCAATCTATTTTCTAGGCCAACTGTTTTTCCATAGAGGTATTTCATAATTTTTTCATTCTTTTGATTTTTTTATTGTTTCTTGATGTCTCATGAAGTCATTAGCTTCCACTTGCCCAATTCTAAATTTTAAGGATTTTCTTCAGTGAACTTTTGTACCTCCTTTTCTACTTTATCAATTCTTCTTTTTAAAGGAGTTCTTCATAGATTTTTGCACCTCTTCTACCATTTGGCCTATTCTATTTTTAAGGCATTATTTTCTCCACAGGTGTGTGTGTGTGTGTGTGTGTGTGTGTGTGTGTGTGTGCAAGCACATGTGCCTCCTTCATTAAGATGTTGGCTGTTTTCCAATTAACATTTTTCTTTGAGGCTTTTGACCTTCCCTGTCACCATAGTAACTTTCTATAGTAAAGTTCTTTTTTTGTTGTTTGCTCATTTTTCCAGTTTCTTCTTTCCCACTTATACTATTGTTTTTCCAATTACATGTAAAGATAGTTTTCAGCATTCATTTTGTAAGACTTTGAGTTCCAAATTTTTCTCCCTCCCTCTCCTCCCCAATAGAGCAAGCAATCTGATACAGGTTCCAGTCTATTTCTTGACTTTTTATTTTTACTTTATGTTGAAGTTGAGCTCTGCTCCCAGGGTGGAGGGGGTACTGTCCTAAGCTTCAGGTTTTTCATGCTGCTGTTTTTAGCTAGTTCTGAGGGTCTGTAAGTTCTCAGTTCTTCCAAGTTGGTATGATCTAAGTAGAGGTGTGGTCACTGCTCTTTTGGGCCGTGCTCCGGTGTGCAAATGACCACACTCTTCTCTGCCCTAAAACTGTGACCAGGAACCCCACACCTGGTAGTGTTCCTCCTTGCTCTGAAACTGAGACCCCAGATTGTGACCTAGACCCACATATGGGCAATGCAAGAGTCCATCTCCAGTGACAGCAAATGATTTTCTGTAATCTCCTTTTGACCAAATATCCGATCCCCTTCACATCTATAGGCTGAGAGCTCCAGAAGCTGCCACTGCCACCACTGACTCAAATTTCCCCTAAGGCCTGCTACTGGCTTGCTGGGTAAGGCTTGCATGTAGCCTTACACCCCAGTAAAACAGACTTTTCCTGCCAACTTTCTAATTTGTCTTTGGCTGGAAAATTGTATCACCCTGTCCTTTTTTTGGTTTTACCACTCCAGAATATTTTTTTGAAGCATTACTTTAACATTGTTTGGAAGTGAATTTATGAGAGCTTGACCTGCCTTTACACCTCCATCTTGGCCTGGTCCCTTTGTATCCATTCTTTATATACCTGTATGTAACCAACATCTCTTCTCGATGTACCTTGGATATGATGCCTTTATGAGGGAAACTTTCTAGAAAGGTTTTTTCCAGATTACTCCATTTACATTTTAGATTCATTGGGCTTTTTTTAAAAAAAAATGCATGAAAATTATCCATTTTATTTTCTGTGATCCTCTCTGTCCTTTTTGGATGAACTCAACCCCTATCCAAAACTTTAACATATGTCTTCTTTGTGGTTCTTCCAATGTGTTTGAAGGGACCTTTTATATCTAGGTCATGTAAGCTTTGGAGCTGTTCTTGGCAGTGTGAGATGTTGGTCTGTACTTAATTTCTGCCAGACTGCTTTCCAACTTTCTGGCATTTTGTAGTGATTAGGAAGTCCTGGCCCCATAGCTGAGGTCTATTTATTTAACCCATGGTTACTATACTCTTTTGTATATCATACACTTAATCTATTCCATTTCTCAAGCTTTTTAGGTCACTACTCTCCCAGAAATACAAAGCTAGAGAGCATTTGAGGCAGGTTTTGAACCATCTTCCTGATTTAAAACCCAGTGCCCTATCTGCTACAATTAGTGCCTTCCTCTACACTGTTCTGAACACTACTTTGAATGAAAAGTGACTAAACTGTCCACATATTTTACCCTAACTCTACTAGGAAACTTATAGCCCATAAAATAAATAACAATAGCAAATTTTTCTGTTGTAATTTAATACTTGCAAAGCTCTTTATAAGTATTTTTTCATTTGCTCTGCACATCAACCTGGAGATGTAGTTGCTATTATAATCTTCATTTTGAAAATGGGAAAAATCAAGCAGGAATAGGTTAAATGACTTGCCCAGGGTAACACAGCCAATGAATGTTAGAAACTTAATTTGAACTCAGGTCTTGTGGCTCCAGGCATAGTACACTATCAACTGTGGTACCTAGCTATTTAAAGAAATCATTACGGGGCAGCTAGATGGTGCAGTGGATAGAGCACCGGCCCTTGATTCAGGATGACCTGAGTTCAAATCCAGCCTCAGACACATAACATTTACTAGCTGTGTGACCCTGGGCAAGTCACTTAACCCCATTGCCTAGCCAGAAAAACAAACAAAATAAAGAAATCATTACAAAAAATAAATAACCAAATGGACAGCAAAATATTTATACCAGGACATTAAGTATCACCAAAGAATAGGAAACAAAGTGAGTACTGATCAATTAGAGAATGGCTAAAGAAATTATGGTATATGAATACAATGAAATGATATTGAGAAGTAATGACAAATAGGATTTCAAAGAAAAATTCATTGTATTTATAAGGCTTTAAGAACAGTGTGAAGTTTGAGATGTGTAACAAAGTCTACACTGTGGCAAAAGGCCTTCCTTCATTACATAGATCTTTCAGTTTTAGCTTCAACATGATTTCTTGTATAATAAAGTATGAGTTCTACATGACAAAAGGCATTGCTTTTATAAGCCTCCTTACCAGTATGAATATTCTGATTTCTAGTGATCTCCCTCTTCCAGAGGAAATGTCTCTATTAAGCAATTTCTCTCTACTACAAATTCTCTGATACAAAGTAAGAGATGATTTCTGGTCGAAGACCTTCTCCCACTGAGTCCACATTGGGTATCTCCCCAAAATAAATTTTCTAATATTGAACAAGCTCTGTACTCTATTTGAATGCCATTCCTCATTCATTATAATGGTAAAATTTTCTATCTAATAGGAATTCTCTGGTGGGAAAAAAAAATGGATGACTTTTACTTGAAGGCTTTACCACAATGGTTACATTCATAAGGTTTCTTTCCAGTGTGGGTTCTTTTATGAAGACGATTGGAGTTGTGTCTGAAAGACTTTCCATTGATTACATTCCTAAGATTTTTCTACATTATAGATTCACTGATGTTGACTAAGAGAAACCCTCTCTCTGCAAGTCTTGTCAACACTGATTGCATTCATAAGGTTTCTTTCTGTCCAGTGTTAACTTCTCTGATGTACAGCAAGATTAGAGTTCTGTGTCAATACTTTTCCATGTTGATGACATTCATAAGCTTTCTCTCTGGTGTGGATTCTCTGATGTGCAAATTCTGTGTGAAAGTCTTCCATATTGATTACAATCATGAATTTTCTCTCCAGTGTGGCTTCTCTGGTGAATGGCATGATTGGAATTCCATGTGAAAGCCTTTCCACATTGATAACATTCATATGGTTTCTCTTCAGTGAGAGAATTGTGGGAACTATGTGAACCAAACTGACTCCTTGTAAAACTGACTCTATTTTGAAACTTAAATTTCATATTCCTGTAAATTTCACCTGCTTGCTAATCACAGGGAGTGAGTGACATCCTGTTTCACATCCTGAAAAATCCACCTGCTTCCTCTCCTCCTCTCTCAATTCATGAAACTCCCTCAACCCCCTCCCAACTTGGAGAACCCCTAATCTTTCTTCCAATTAGAAATCATATTACCTAATCTTATAACCTGTTTTCCCGTTAAATGTTTTCTTTTAATGCATAAAAAAAACTCACTCCCTGTATTTGAAACCCAGTGCCAAGCTGAGGATGGTTGGTCCCAATTTGTTATGCAATTGGCATGTATTGCATAATAAATTAATATGATCAGAAGCTCAAACCTTTGTTTCTTCAGTTATTTCAGATTTCACCTGTCACACTACTATGGATTCTCTGATGTTTGGAAAGATGGGAGTTCTGTGTGAAAGCTTTTCCACAGTGATGACATTCATAAGGTTTCTCTCCAGTGTGGATCCTCTGGTGGCAAGCAAGTTTGGAGTTGTGTGTGAAAGCCTTACCACATTGATGACATTCATAAGGTTTCTCTCCAGTGTGGATTCTCTGGTGTTTCAAAAGATTGGCATTCTGAGTGAAAGCTTTTCCACACTGATGACATTCATAAGGTTTCTCACCAGTGTGGATTCTCTGATGTATAGCAAGACTGGACCTATTTGTGAAAGTCTTTCCACACTGATTACATTCATAAGGTTTCTCTCCAGTGTGGATTCTCACATGTATAGCAAGACTGGACTTATTTGTGAAAGTCTTTCCACATTGATTACATTCATAAGGTTTCTCTCCAGTGTGGATTTTCAGATGGTAAGCAAGAAGGGCCCTATATGGGAAAGCCTTTCCACATTGATTACATTTATAAGGTTTCTCTCCAGTATGAATTCTCTGATGTACAGCAAGACTGGAGTTCTCTTTGAAAGCCTTTCCACATTGATTACATTCATAAGGTTTCTCTCCAGTGTGGATTCTCTGATGTAGAGCAAGTTTGGAGTTCTGTTTGAAAGCCTTTCCACATTGACTACATTCATAAGGTTTCTCTCCAGTGTGGATTCTCTGATGTACAGCAAGACTGGAGTTACGTGTGAAAGCCTTTCCACATTGATTACATTCATAAGGTTTCTCTCCAGTGTGGATTCTCTGATGAAGAGGAAGACTGGAGCTGTGTCTGAAAGCCTTTCCACATTGATGACATTTATAAGGTTTCTCTCCAGTGTGGATTCTCTGATGTTTAGAAAGATGGGAATTCTGTGTGAAAGCCTTTCCACATTGATTACATTCATAAGGTTTCTCTCCAGTGTGGATTCTCTGATGTGCAATAAGGGAAGAGTGTTCACCAAAAGCTTTACCACATTCATGACACTCATGAGGTTTGTCTCCAGTGTGGTTTTTCTGATGTACAGCAAGACTAGAGCTGCATCGGAAAGTCTTTCCACAGTGATTACATTCATAAGGTTTCTCTCCAGTGTGGATTCTCTGATGTAGAGCAAGTTTGGAGTTCTCTTTGAAAGCCTTTCCACAGTGATTGCATTCATAAGGTTTCTCTCCAGTGTGGATTCTCTGGTGTACAACAAGACTGGAGTTCTGTCGGAAAGTTTTTCCACATTGATTACATTCATAAGGTTTTTCTCCAGTGTGGATTCTCTGATGTACAACAAGCATAGAGTTTTGTGTGAAAGCCTTTCCACACTGATTACATTCATAAGGTTTCTCTCCAGTGTGGATTCTCTGATGAAGAGGAAGACTGGAGCTATGTCTGAAAGCCTTACCACAATGATGACATTCATAAGGTTTCTCTCCAGTGTGGATTCTCTGATGTTTAGAAAGATGGGAATTCTGTGTGAAAGTCTTTCCACACTGATTACATTCATAAGGCTTCTCACCAGTGTGGATTCTCTGATGTGCAATAAGGGAAAAGTGTTCACCAAAAGTTTTACCACATTCATGACACTCATGAAGTTTCTCTCCAGTGTGGTTTTTCTGATGTACAGCAAGACTGGAGCTGCGTCGGAAAGCCTTTCCACATTGATTGCATTCATAAGGTTTTTCTCCACTGTGAATTCTCTGATGTGCAATAAGGGAAGCGTGTTCACCAAAAGCTTTACCACATTTATGACATTTATGAGGTTTCTTTCCAGTGTGGTTTTTCTGATGTGCAGCAAGATTGGAGCCGCATTGGAAAGTCTTTCCACATTGATTGCAGGCATAAGGTTTCTCTCCAGTGTGAATTCTCGGATGTGCAATAAGGGAAGCGTGTTCACCAAAAGCTTTACCACATTTATGACATTTATGAGGTTTCTTTCCAGTGTGGTTTTTCTGATGTGCAGCAAGACTGGAGCCGCGTCGGAAAGTCTTTCCACATTGATTGCAGGCATAAGGTTTCTCTCCAGTGTGAATTCTCGGATGTGCAATAAGGGAACAGTGTTCACCAAAAGCTTTACCACATTTATGACATTCATCAGGTTTCTCTCCAGTGTGGTTTTTCTGATGTACAGCAAGACTGGAGCTGTGTTGGAGAGTCTTTCCACTTTGATTATAGTCATAAGGTGTTTCTCCAGTGTGAATTTTCTGATGTTCACCAAGAATGGTTCTCTTTCTGAAAGTCTTTCCACATTGACGATGTTCATAAGGTTTCTCTCCAGTGTGGATTTTCTGATGGCAAGCAAGTTTGGCACTCTGTGTGAATGCCTTTCCACACTGATTACATTCCCAAGGTTTTCCTGCTGTGTGAATTTTATGATGGTCAATCAGCTTTGAATTCTGACTAAAGGCCTTCCCACATTCATTACAAAAATAAAGCATTTTTCCAGTATGATGTATCTGTTGTCTGATAAGGTCTGAACTCAAGCTGTCAGCCATTCCCCTTTGATTACCTTTATATGTTCGCACTTCAGGAGGCTCCTCATAAGATTGAATAAGCCCAACCTCTTCAGCACCACATTCCTTATTTTCCCCATATGGAAAACAGCCATTCTCTGAGGTCATTTTCTTAAATTGAATAAGAACTGAGTATTGTCTGAAGCCCTTTCCATCTTTACCAAGTTCACAGTGACTATTTTGATTTTTCTCTATCTTGATATCTGAGTCACAGATTTCTCTCAAATTGAAGTCACAGGAACCATCCCTCATGAATCTATGCTGGTGAGATTCTTCCACAGAAATCCTCAGCTCTGCAGTAGTCTTAGTCATTTCAGACTTGGTCTCTGCCCCTGAAGAAAACAAGCAAACACACACAGAGACTCACATACATATAAATAAATTCTCTTCTCTACTGGAAGAAAGGAAACTGACTTATAGTCTATCTTCCCAATCAAAATGAAGAATTTTGAAACTTAATGAACAAAATAAATTAAGCATAGCACTACCTCACATCTGGAGGATGATTAATTTTACAAAGAGCTTCACAAACAGTAACACTGGCTGCTCACAACAAACCTGTGACACAGGCAGGTGGGATTCTCATTGCACTTTACAACTCAAACCATGAGTTCAGAATGGCAAAGTCACATGACTCTGTGAAGGTGAGACTAGAACTGAAACCCTGCAACTGAACATGCTCTTTCCTAAGTACTGGACAGCTTTTCTCTATTTTACTTCTAACCCTTCATTCAAATGCCTTGGGTTGATTATTCTTTTCATTTTGCTGTGCTTATCTAAGCTTTCTGCTTTTCTACATGGGCCAATTTTGATACACTGTCACATGATCATCCTTTGTAAATTTCCTGTGCTAAGTTGAGAAACTGGTTTACACCTTTCACCTGTCATGTATTAGTTTTCAGTGTTTTGTATTCAACTTTTCTTATATTCTATTCAGATCCATAGATATTGTGCCATTTGCTAGCATACATATACTAAAAATGATATTATTTCATTATCTATTATATCTTTGAGCATAATACAATTCCACTGGTAATCCTTTTTATTTTTTCAATTGGATATATAAGATCACATCATAACTGCCAAACCTTTTTTTATTTTAGTATTCACCAGTGGGATCAGATTTTGTTATGGCTCATGATGTTTAAAAGATAGCTGTTATTCATTTATTTTGAAAAGTTTATCTTTGAATGCCTGTGTTCCCTAAAAAAAAAAAAAGAAAAACCAGAGTCTTTGTAATAAACACATTAAAAAGAAATCCATGAACTTCCCACATTCAAAGATGTTATGTCTCATCTGTATCTTCAGACCACCAACCTTCTTTCAGGAAGTGGACAACATGATTCACTATTAATCCTCCAGCAGCAGTTTCCATTTACTGGTCCATGAACAGGTTAGGGGTTTATGACTATAGCCTAAGGGATTTGAGCTAAAAATTCATTAAATCAGGCAGTAAATAATTGCACAATTTTGATACAATTAATTTTCTTCCTAGACAGTAAGTTTATGCACGTTTGAAGCATATATTTCTTTATGCAGAGATTTCAAATTGTCATAATCAGACATACAACGATTTTGGTGTTCATGCAGTGATGACACCAAACTCTGACTCTTTCTAAATAAAAAATATTCTTTTCTTCAACCCTTCATCAAATTGTTTCCAAACTGCCAGAACGGTTTGACATTCAAGTGCAAATCAGTTCCCAGTAGATGCTCAAAGGTATGCACATAACCATACTTGCCTTATGTAATACACTATACCAGAGTATTTCCCTCATTCCAGAATTACCTTGTAATTTGCATCTCATCAATGATGTAATCATCAGACCAAGATGTTAGAAATATTTGTGTTTTTGCAATGCAGATGATAGGTTCTTTAAAAAACATGCTCACTAGGCATGGACATTGCAAGGCATGTTGAAATCATCAGAGACCATCACAACAATTCTACAAAAAAAGACAGTATATTGCCTCTCACTGCAATGTTAAGGCTTTTTTTTTATTTGAACTTATCTTCTGTTTGTGTTATTATCCTTCTATTGGGCAGATTTTCAAAGGATCTGGTTGGTAACACAGGTCAGTCATTCTGTAGAGTTTCTGTGAGGGGTAGACAGTGTACTAGTGGTAGAAAGAAGAAACTTATACCTGAAGATTTCTTTCCCTACAAAGGTTGTTTTATAGAAAAGCATTGTTAAAAAAACAAAAAGAAAAGAAAAAAGCAAAGCAATATAGGCATATGGACTTAAAGGGAATTTATCTTTAATACACTACTTACAATTGGCAAATAAAAAAATAAAATTTTTATATATATCAAATAGTTATTCTTTTTGGTCACTGGTTTGTAGACTAAAAATTAAAAATGGATTTCCATCCCTCAGCAAGAGAGCTTGTAAAATCCTCCTACCATTTTCTACCTCATCCATATGTCGGTGAGCATTTTCAGTGTATTCTGGTTATCAAACAAAATACATAGGTGATAGAGAGCTGGGCCTAGCAGTCAGGAAGACCTGAGTTCAAATCCCTCCTCAGATACTTACTAGCACTGTGGCCCTGGGCAAGTCACTTAGCCTCTTCTTACTTGTTTCTTTAATAGTAAAATAGCATAATAACTGCATCTACCTGAAGCATTTTGAGGATCCAATGGGAGAATGTCTGCAAAGCACTTAGCCCTGGGTCTGGCACATCAGAGGCACTACATAAATGCTATTTATTATTCTCATTTCTGTTATTATTAAATCAACTGGATGCAGAACCACATTAAAAACTGAGTTTGGGGCAGTTGAAGCAATATTGCAAAACTTTGTTCAAGGAAAAAAGTCCAACTTTGAAATGAATTTCACATATTCCCATTATGTTTAATAACTTCCAAGTTATAACTTATTTGATGAAAAAATGCTTTTTATATTAAAAAAATCATAAATTTAAATTTAAGTCTTACAGTTAATAGGGAAGATTTATTGTAGTTATAAAAATAAATCTTGCAGAAAGACCCATATTAAAATTTCATAATTATTTTATACTTATTTATATTGTTTTCATAATTTAAGAATAAAATTTCACATTTTATAATAATACATTGTAAAGAAAGCATGGTAAAAGTTGTCCAGGTCATTATTGTAGGAATTCAATGCATTAATTAATATGAATGAGTAGGAGTTTAAATGACTAGGGAGTTGCACAACACACTTATTGTTGAAAGAAGTTCTAAGAACAAAAGATTTGGGGAACCACTGCTCAGGGGTCATGATTGTTCATTGCATTGATCAATGTAGCTACAGTATAAATTATCCTACTGGTTGTGTTCACTGATCTCTTTGTCTGTTCAGACAACTCTTCCCAGGTTTCTCTGAAACTGAGCCTTTTATCATTTCTTAAGGTCCAACAATCTTCTATTATATTCTTAGATCATTATTTATTCAGTCATTTCCTGATATATGGGCACCATCTTTGTTTTCAGTTCTTCACAACAAGAAAAAGCACACTTCTGACCATGTCACTACCTACTACTTAGTAAGCTCCTTATCACCAGGATCAAATACAAAATCTTCTGGTTGCTTACAGCCCTTCACCATCTTCCCCTCCCCTACCTCTCCAGTCTTCTTTCACCTTACTGCCCCTCCACATGTGATAATCCAGTGATACAGGCCTCCTTTCTGTTCCTTACCTACGATCCTCCATCTCCTGACTCCATGTGTTTTCCCTGCTTGCCCATTATACCTAGAATGCTCACCCTGTCTTTTCTGAAATCTCACCTGAAAACCTATCTTCTACAATAGGCCTTTTCTAGTCCACCTGAATCTTTCTGCCTTCCCTCTCTTGGATTAGCTCTAATTTATCCTGGCTAAACCAGGCCTCCACATAATGGTTTGCACATTGTCTTCCCCACTAAATTGTGACTCTCTGAGAACAGGGGCTGTCCCTTGCCTTTCTTTCTATCTATGCCACTTAGGACAGTGTCTGGCACATAGGAGGCGCTTAATAAATGCCTGCTCGCTTGAAGGTCTAGGAAAGAACTCAAGTGGGATAGTTTTAGCTCTTAATGCTTTCATAAGATTTCCATGTTGCAGAGTTCTAAAAGCGATGTCTTACAGGATCACAGATTTATCACTGGAAGGAAAGTGAAAGGCCGTGGGGTTCAACCTCTTACTTTCACAGATAGGGAAACCGAGGCTTAGAGGTTCAGTAACACTCCCAGTATTACATAGCTAAAAAGCATCTACACAACACTAGCATTCCCTTCTCTCTAACACAGATGTTTCTCTTGATGACAGCCCTTATGGTCTTGCTTTAATCTCACTCACCTGGACAGCAGTTTCTTGGGCCTTTTTGATCCAGGATCCACGATGGCTCTCTTTCCTCAAAATGGGAGATGAAATCTTCTCTGAGAAGTGGAATTCCTTGGCAGGGGGAATAAAGGACAGATGCAGATGGAGAGAAAGTTATGCTTCACTCCTCTTTAGGGAGCAAGGACCACAGGATGGTCACCAGGACTCGTCAAGGGTGGGCATGAGGGCAGGGAGAAGAAAATGCAGCTGATCTGGAACTAGAAAATTCTGTCTTTGCCTTCTTCACAGAAGGATAGACACATTGCCTAGATTCCACTATCTAGAAATAATAGCCAGCTAGTAGCTCAGTGGTGAGAGCCCTGGGCCTGGAGTCAGGAAAACTTGAGTTCAAATCTAGCCTCAAACACTTAGTAGCTGTGTGCCCCTGGGCAAGTCACTTAGCCTCTGCTTTAGTTTCCTCACATAAAAGGTGGGGGGAATAACAGCACCCAAATCACAGAGTGCTGTAAGGATCAGATGAGATAAAACGTAGAAAGTACTTAGTACAGGGCCTGGCGTATAGTAAGTTTATATAAATGCTAATTCCTGTCTCTTTCTCTCCCACCATCTGTGCTGGAATTTTGGGGAAGAATAAAGGAAGAAGGGGGTGGAGCCAAGATGGGAGAGTGAAAGCAGTGACTCGCTGGAGCTCTCCCCCAAACCCCTCCAAACACCTGTAAAAAATGGCTCTAAACAAATTCTAGAGCAGCAGAACCCACAAAAAGATGGAGGGAAACAAATTTCCAGCCCAAGACAACGTGGATGATTGATCATGAGCAAGCAGCGCAAAAAGAGTCAGACTATATTATCTTACTTTGGTGAAAAAGAAGATCAAAATATATAACCAGAAGAAGACAACAAAATCAAAGCTCCTACATCCAAAGCCTCCAAAAAAAATATGAATCAGTCCCAGGCCTTGGAAGAGCTCAAAAGGGATTTTGAGAAGCAAGTAAGGGAAGTGGAGGAAAAACTAGGAAGAGAAATGAGAGTGATGCAAGAAAATCATGAAAAACAAGTCAACAGCTTGCTAAAGGAGACCCAAAAAATACTGAAGAAAACAACACCTTAAAAAATAGCCTAACCCAAATGGCAAAAGAGGTCCAAAAAGCCAATGAGGAGAAGAATGCCCTAAAAAGCAAAATTGGCCAAATGGAAAAGGAAGTCCAAAAGATTACTGAAGAAAATACTTCCTTAAAAATTAGAATAGAGCAATTGGAAGACAGTGACTTTATGAGAAATCAAGACACTGTAAAACAAATCCAAAAGAATGAAAAATTAGAAAACAATGTGAAATATCTCATTGGAAAAACAACTGACCTGGAAAATAGATCCAGGAGAGAGAATTTAAAAATTATTGGACTATCTGAAAGCCATGATCAAAAAAAGAGCCTAGACATCATCTTTCAAGAAATTATCAAGGAAAACTGCCCTGATATATTAGAACCAGAGGGCAAAATAGAAATGAAAGAATCCACAGATCTCCTCCTGAAAGGATCCCCAAAGGAAAACTCCTAGGAATATTGTAGCCAAATTCCAGAGTTCCCAGGTCAAGGAGAAAATATTACAAGCTGCCAGAAGGAAACAGTTCAAGTACTGTGGAAACACAATCAGGATAACACAAGATTTAGCAGCTTCTACATTAAAGGACCGCAGGGCATGGAATATAATATTCCGGAGGGCAAAGGAGATAGGATTACAACCAAGAATCACCTACCCAGCAAAACTGAGTATAATCCTTCAGGGGAAAAAATGGTCATTCAGTGAAATAGAGGACTTTCAAGCATTCTTGATGAAAAGACCAGAGCTGAATAGAAAATTTGACTTTCAAATACGAGACTCAAGTGGAACATGAAGAGGTAAACAGGAAAGAGAAATCATAAGAGACTTATTAAGATTGAACTGTTTACATTCCTGCATGGAAAGATGATATTTATAACTCATGAGACCTTTGTCAGTATTAGGGTAGTTGGAGGAAAAAAATTATATGTATGTATATGTAGATAGATAGATAGAGGGCACAGGGTGAGTTGAAGATTAAGGGGTCATATCTGGAGAATAAAATTAAGGGATGAGAGAGGATTATACTCAGAGAAGAAGAAAGGGAGAGGTAGAATGGGGTAAATTATCTCACAAAAAAAAACAGAAAAGAAAAGTCTCTACAGTGGAGGGGAAACGGGGAAGGTGAGAGGGAATGAGTGAATCTTATTCTCATAGGATTTGGCTTAAGGAGGGAATAACATACACATTCAATTGGGTATGGAAATCTGTCTTACCCTACAGGAAAATAGGGGGAGAAGGGGACAAGAGAGCAGGGGGATGATAGAGAGGAGGGCAGATTGGGAAAGGGGTAATCAGAAGTAAATACTTCTGAGGAGGGACAGGGTCAAAAGAAAGAATAGAATAAATGGGAGGGCAGGATAGGATTAAGGGAAATAGAGTTAGTTTTTCACAACATGTCTACTATGGAAGTGTTTTGCATAACTGCACATGTACAACCTATATTGAGTTGCTTGCCTTTTCAATGAGGGTGGGTGGGGAGGGAGGAAGAGAGAAAATTTGAAACCTAAAGTTTTAAAAACATATGTTTAAAAAAAAATATTTTCACATGCTACTGGGAAATAAGAAATACAGGAAATGGGGTACAGAAGTCTATCCTGCCCTACAGGAAAATAGAAGGGGAAGGGGATAAGAGAAGGGAAGAGAGAAGAGAGGACAGACTAGGGGAAGGGATATTCAGAATGCATGCCATCTTGGGTTGGGGGGAGTGGGGAGATGGGGTGAAAATTTGGAACTCAAAAACTTGTGGGAGTGAATGTTGAAAACTAAAAATAAATAAATTTATATTTACAAAAAAGAATAAAGGAAGAAAAAAGATAAACTTACTATATTACTACATGAAAGGCAAAACTGGAAGCTAAAAAGAGGTAAAAACTTAGGCTTGTCTACAAGTAGAGCTTTTTAAAGACAACCCATCCCAAGGAGGAAGGGGCTTTCTTTTGGGGTAGGGAGCTCCTTTACTTCCCTTCTTCAAGGAAAAGCTTCACGAACAGTTTTTAGAGATTTTGCAGACAAAATTCACGTCCAGGTAGAGGCTAGGCTAGATAACCTCTGAGATTAGTTCTAAGTCTGAGATTTCATACCCTTGTTTGTTTGGCAACCTGAAGTTACTTCAGAGAGGAAAGTGACAGTTTCCTATCACAAAAGGCAACCACAATTTATCAGGAAAACCAGGCAGCTGGAGCACCATATTGAGAAACCACCAATTTTGCTTTTCTAATAAGTGATAAATTCTAGAGAAGGAAGGAAGACACTCCTTTGATGGCAGATTCCGAGTTCCCAAGGGAAGCTGTACTTACCCAGGGAGAGCAGGTTCTGGGAGTTCTCCAGCATCACCTCCTTGTACAGCTCTTTCTGAGAATGGTCCAAGAGGCTCCACTCCTCCTGGGTGAAGTCCACAGCCACATCCTTGAATGTCAGTGACTCCTAACCATCAAAATTCACAAGACTGAGAGCTGAAAGAGACTTCAGAGTTCATCTAGCCCAACCCTCATCAATGTACAGAGGAAACTGAAGCACAGAGAAGAGATTTCCTAACAATCACATGACTTACGAGAGTCAGAGCCAACATTTAAAACTATAGTCATTAAGAGCCCAATGGAATACTGATAAAAGCATTTTATATTTACAGTTGGAATAAAGCTTACAAATATCTTATTATGAAATGCTTCTCCCTGTAGAAGCAGGGAGAAAGTATGTGTACTAGAAGTAAGGTATGAGGCCCTGAGGAGGAGAAAGAAAGAAGATGATGTGAAATTTCTCCCTCATCGGAGCTCTCAGAGGGACATGTTTAAAAAAAATTCTTTGAAGAGTTTGTGAGAAGTTGTCAAGTACTGTGTATTCTGGGGGAAACAACACCACATGTGATCAATAAAGAGAGAGCAAAGAACAAGGAATAATCTAGTTAATTTCCTAAAAATCTGAAACTCCTTATCTATAAGAAAACATAAAGAGGATTCTTAAAAGACAGTAATAACAATCTGGACTACACTAAGTAGTATGCAACTGTTTTCAACCAAGTAAGGAAGAGTTATTTATGACTATATTGAGGGTTTGAGGTGAGAACAGATAAGATTTGTCACAAGCACAACATCCTATGTCTTTGCTTTATGATTGCTTTCACTTGTTAATGGCACATATTCATTAAGTTTCATATTTCATCATATAGAAATATAAGAGTGATTATGATGGGGAAAGAAGCATTCCTTCATGTATTATAAATTAATATTTTATTACCTGGGGTTGGAGATTGAGCTAATTCATGAGAAAGACATTGCCAGTTTATGAGAAATAAGTTACCTAAATACAACCCTAAAATTCTAGGATAATGGAGAGCAAGAGTCAGGATAATCAGGTAAAAGGCTGACTGATGGATGAAATACAAGAGGTTTGTTAGATGTGAAAATGCCTTGATATATGAGAGGAGTCATCTATTTTTCCAACCTGTTACATACACATTTGGCCAATGTATTGTTATTTGATGCCCTCTCATTTTATTATCAGCCATGTCCATTAGTGTTAGGATTCACTTTTTCAGAGGTTCTATTATTTAGGAACAATTCTCAATCGTGTAATGGGGGAGAACTTAAAAATCAAAAACAAAAGGGCAGCAAATTGAGTGTAAAATTATTGTCAGAGATGGAAAAGAGCTAATGAAAATATTCACAACAGAGGAGAACAGGGCAATGTTGTTACTACTGGATTCAATTTCATTTTTTTTTAAAAGAAACAATTATTGGGTAAGAAAGATTGGCAGCTTCACAGACTATCTTCTGTATCTACGGAAGTGACCGTATTTGCTGATGTTAGTCAAATCCAGGGGTGCGGAACCTGCCCCTCAAAGCCACATGTCGGGGGCAGGTAGGTGGCACAGTGGATAGAGCACCGGCCCTGGATTCAGGAAGACCTGGGTTCAAATCCGGCCTCAGACACAGAACACTTACTAGCTGTGTGACCCTGGGCAAGTCACTTAACCCCACTGCCTAGCCAAAAAAAGAAAAGAAAGCCACATGTGGCCCTCTAGGTCCTCAAGTGTGGCCCATTGACTGAATCCCCTTAGGATTTGTTCTGTGAAGTTTGGATTCAGTCAATGGGCCACACTTGAGGACCTAGAGGGCCACATGTGGCTTCAAGGCCACAGGTTCCCCACCCCTGGCCAAGTCTGCACAATGAGTACAATTACTGTACTCACCTGCCATGAGTGTCTTTGGGGTCCGGGGGCCATTCCCCCTGGTTCCAGGCTTTTTGCTTGGTCCTCTTCAGGCTGAGCAGAGGAGGAAGAAGGATCCCGGGGGGAGACGTCTCTGCCTTCACTCCCAGGCAGGGCGCTGGCCTACAAGGATTTACAGAGGGTGAGACCCCTGAGGAGTTACAAAGCTCCTGGCACTGCCCTCAGGGGAGAAAGTGCAACCAGAAGAGGGTGGCAGCAGATAGAATAAGGCGTGTAAACAAGGATGATGTAAACTCAACACACTACTTTTCGCTTTCCCTTATTTCTCCTCTTCTGTCCCAGTCCTCTCACTCATCTTCCTACAGAGTGACCTGAGAGGCAAGAAGGGGTTTGGAATCCCAGCTCCATTGGCAAAGCAGAGGCTGTTGCCCAAGGATACCTGGGATATCGTGGAAAGCCTGGACAAGAAGCAGGGGCTGAGAGCTGGCCCACCAGCTAGGCTTGGGAAGGAGGCATGTTCCTTGTATCCCTGTAAACACTCACTAAGAGGTCAGATTGGGAAGATGAGGCCCATCGGAAAAGGCACCCAGCAGATACAGGGGCAGGGTCCTGGTTCAAAACTACTTGGGCTTTTCAAATGCACAGCTGGCTCCCAGGAGGAAGGGTGATCTCAGCTCCAAGACAAGGCAGTGATTTCAGCTTCAAGGGCTCAGGCTTCCAGCTAATCTGCTCTGACATGAGAATCAAACTGACTCCATTTTGTGAGCAACTTCCAGTTTGAGACTTATTCCTATAAATCACCTGATTTGGGGGAAATTCCACCTGCACATTCTCCTGCTCCCAACTTGGAAAGTCTCAACTCTATTCCCCAATAAAAAACAGATTACCTAATCCTGCATTACTTTGTATCCTGCTTATTCTTTTCTTTTTTTTTAATTTATAAAAATCTGTACAAAACCTGTATTCAAGGTCTTTATGCCTGCTGAGGGACCCTGGGCCCAGTTTATTATGCATGCTTTAATACAAAATTGCATTCCTCAGACTCTGTCTTGTCAGTTATTATAATTCACTCATGACAGTTTTGGGGAAGCCATCTAGGAGTCACAAGGGGACCTGGGCTCCAGGATGGCCTCTTAGAAGAATTCCTTACACTGCTCCAGTCTTTTCACCATGGGAGGGAAATACACAATAATCATAATTGTAAATATGAATGGGATGAACTCACCCATAAAACAGAAGAAAAACCAGGAGAACATTGTACACAGTAACAGTAAGCTTTTCTGATAAAGGCCTTATTTCTTAAACACACAGATAACCAAGTCAAATTTATAAGAATACAAGTAATTCCCCAATAATAAATGGTTAAAGGTTTTCAGATGAAATTAAAGTGATTTTTAGATATGAAAAAATGTTCTAAATCACTACTGATCAGAAAAATGCAAATTAAAATAACTCTAAGGTACCATCTCACACCTTTCAGATTGACTATGATGACAGAAAAGGAAAATGACAAATGTTGCAGGGGATGTGGAAAAACTGGGACACTAATAGATGGCTGGTAGAACTGTGAACTGATTCTACCACTTTGGAGAGCAATTTGGAACTATACCCAAAGTGCTGTAAACCTGTGCATACTCTTCAACCCAGAAATACCACTACCAGGTCTGTATCCCAAAGATGCCAAAGTCAAAAGGAAAGGACTTATATGTACAAAAGCATTTATAGCACTTTTTTTTTTGCAGTAGCAAATAAGTGGAAATTGAGGAATGGCTGAACAAGTTGTGGTATATGACTGTGATGGAATACTACCGTGCTATAAAAAATTACAGTTTCAGAAAAAAAACCTCAGAAGATTTCTGTGAACAAAGTGAGCAGAACCAAGAAAACACTGTATACAGTAATAGTAATATTGCATGATGATCAACTGTGAATGATTTAGGCATTCTCAGCAACAATCTTCCAAGACAGCTCTGAAGGATTTATGATAAAAAATGCTATCCACCTCCAGAGAAAGAACCAATAGAATCTGAATGCAGATCAAAGCTTAGTTTTTTAAACTTTCTTTTTTTTTTTTTGGTCTGTGTTTTCTTTTGCAACATGGCTAATATGTAAATTTGTTTTGCATGACTGTACATATTTAATCTATATCAAATAGTCTTGTCAAGTTGGGGAAAGAGGAGAGTATTTTAAACTCAACATTTAAAAAAAACAAATGCTAAAATTATTTTTACATGTAATTGGAAAAAATATAAAATTTTTCATTTAAAAAATTTATTTCTCTCCAAGATATACAGAGAACTGACACCATTGTTTACCATGAGCCATTGCTAATAGATGGGTGCTGAAAGGATATGAAGTTTTCAACATTCCAAAGCAACAATAGTTAGAGAAAGTCATTAAGACCATTTTCAAATTTCCTGACATGCCTTCACAACTGGTGAAAATGATAAAAAAAAAAAGAAACCATCCACATTTGATAAGCATACTTTTTCAAAACTTATTTTTCAGGGGGGGAGAGTTGGTCTGTGTTTTCTTTCACAATATGACTAATATGGACATGTTTTACATGACTGCATATGTATACCTTATATCAAATTGCCTGCCTTCTTAATGAGGGGAGAATGAGAGGAAAGGAGAGAATTTTTTTGGGGGGTAATAAATGTTACAAATGGATTTTTTACATGTAAGTGGAGAAAAAATAAAATGCTAAATAATTATTAAAAAATGTAATTTCTTAGGAAAGACCATAGCCAAACCAAATAAATTCCTACCCTGTCCACATCCCAAAATTTACTTTATTCTATATCTTTTATCCATCATTTCTCATTTGGGAGGTAGGTAGTTCAGATCTTGATAATTCCCCTGCAATAGCAGTCATTACAATAATCATAGTTATAGCATCTGTTGAAGTGTAACCTTCACAATATCATTATTATCAATTAGTCCCCTGATTTTACTCACTACACATTAGTTTATATAGCTCTTCCCAGGTTTCACTGAAATTGCCTGTTTTGTAACATATTTGTGTTCCATTCTATTCCTTTATCAAAATTTATTCAGCCATTGCCCTATTGTAGGGCATCACACCTGAGTTTCCAGTTCTTTGTCATAGCAAATATAGCTGTTAAGGATTCATGCACTTAGGTCCTTGCCTTTTCTTTGATTTATGGGAAAATCCCCCCTCATGAGTCAAAGGGTGTAAACAATTAGTGACTTTTTCAGCTTTGCAGCTTTACCAACAGTAAATTAATGTGCCCATTTTCACCACACTTTCCCCAAAACTGGATGTTTTGAGTTCATCTTTGCCACTTGCAAGGGTGTTCAGTGGAACATGAATTTATTCAATTGCATTTATCTAATTATTAGTGTTTCAGACTGTTTTAAACTTCATTTTAAAATTAATGAACAATTTCTGTCCCTCTGACCTGCCCTCCCACAGGTGAAAAAAGAAAGGCACAAGACACTTGTACCAAAAACCCAATCAAGAAAAACAAATTCCCTCCAATATGTTACTTTTATTACCTTTACCAATCTGAGCAATCTTTCTAATTATTATTGATTTGGATTAGTAATTACAAACTTGGCCCACATTTTTCATACAGTTATTAATTTGTATTTCTTCCCTTAAAAACTGCCTATTTACCATGTCTATTGTGTCTGTACTTCATATGACTCTATATAATCTGTGTCTATTCTTCATATATCTTGAATACGAAGTCTTTACCAGGGAAACCTGCTTCAAATCTTTTCCCAACTTAACTGCTTCCCTTAACATTTTAGATACATTGTTGTTTAATGTGATGAAAACTGCCCATTTTATTTTCTGTGATGCTCTCTGTCCCCTTTTTGACGATGAACTCATCCTCTATCCAAAACTGAAAATGTATTTGCTCCATGGTTCCTCTGATGTTTGAGGGGATCTTTTCTATCTAAGTCACGTATCCATTTGTATTATGCCAGACTGCTTTCCATCTTTTCTAGCACTTTGTAGTGAATAGTAAATCCTAGCTCCATAGTTGGGTTCATTAGATTTATTGAACACAAGGATTAGTATATCATTTTCCTTAGAATATTATGCATCTGATCTATTCAGTTTCTCAAGCTTACTTTTAAGCAATTTGGATGACTCTTGCTTTGTGCTATAGTTTCAGATTCGGTCCTGCTAGGCCTCCTTCCTGGAACATTATAAGGGGCTATAGAGACATAGAATGCATTTTTTATGAGAACACATATTAAGCACTGGATGGGACCATAGAAGACAGCCAGGCCAGCCTCCTCACTTTGGAGATGAGGCATAGAGGTTATTTCTTACCCAGAGTCACAGAGCCAGAGAGCACGTGAAGCGAAGCAGGACTTAAACCTATCTTCCTGACTTTAAGCCTGTTACTACTACCAGTGCCTTCCTCTACACTGTTCTGAATACCAATTGGAATGAAAAGTCACTAAACTGTCCACACATTTTAGCCTACTAACTCCACTATGAGACTTATGATCCAAGGAGTTACAATAAAGATGACAATTATAATGATAATTACTAGCTAGCATTTCCATTGCAATGTAATGCTTGCCAAGCTCTGAACAAGTACTGTCTCATTTGTTCCTCTTATCAGCCCTATGAGTCTGGTGTCAGGTGCTATTGCTATCCCCATTCTACAGACAGGGAAAAGCAGGCAGGAATAGGTGAAGTGACTGGCCCAGGGTCACAAAGCTAGCAAACGTTAGAGACTGAATTTTGAACTCAGGTCTTATGGTTCCAGACATGGAACTCTATCCATTGCAGAACCTAGCTGCTTAAAAAAAATCATTACAAAAATAAATGCAGAAAAAATATTATACCAGGACTTTTTGTGCCAGCAAAGAACAGGAAATAAGAGTGCCAATCAACTGGGAAATGGCTGAAGTTAATTTATAAATGCCATGAAATATCATTGAGGAGAAATTAAAAACATTAGGATTTCAGAGGAAAATTCATTACCCTTATAGGGCTTTATACACATTATTAAATTTGGGATTTCTAAGTCTACACCTCATTATTAATATCCATTGGTTTTCTCTCCAGCATGATTTCTCCAATGTAGAGTTCAGTATGAGCTCTACATATTCATTGCTTTTAGAAGCCTTCTTTCTCATATGAATATTCTGATGTCTGGTAATTTCCCTCTTCCAGAGAAAAGCATGTTCTCATTAGGCAAACTCCTAAGGTCGCTCTCTACTATAAATCCTCTGAGATAAAGTAGAAGATGACCTGTGACTGAAGGCCTTCCCCCATTGAATCCCATATAAGGCATCTCCCCAGAATGAATTTTCTGATGTTGAACAAGCTGTGTACTCCATTTGAATGCCTTTCCTCAATCATTAGAGTGATAAAATTTCTATCTAGTATGAATTCTCTGATGGGAATTAAGGGATGACTGTTATTTGAAGGCTTTAGCACACTGATTTTTATACACACACACACACACACACACACACACACACACACACACACATATAGATTTCTCTGACAACCAGCAAACTGGAGCTGCATCTGAAAGTCTTTCCACATTGATGACATTCATAAAGTTTCTCTCCAGTGTGGATTCTCAGATGAACAGCAAGTGGGTAGGTACATCTAAAAGCCTTTCAAAACTGATGATATCTATAAGGTTTATCTACAGAGTGTATTATTTGATGTCAAGCAAGTTTGGAGTTCTGTGTGAAAGCCCTTCTATGAAAATGTGAAACATTTTCAATGAAATCTCAGAGCAGCAAGCCTGAAAAATAAATAAAAACACCCATTTACCTAGTTGGGCTGAGGAGCTCATTCCACAATAGAAGGAAGAGGAATCAGAACTTCATTCAGTCCATAGACTTTGTGGTAAGTTTGAAGTTTTGTGTGAAAGTTTTTCCACATTGATAACACTCATAAGGTTTCTCTCCAGTATTGATTCTGATGTATAGCAAGGCTCGGAGATTACACATTGATTACATGTATAAGTTTCTCTCCAGTTCAGGTTTTGTAACGAAAAGCACTAAAGGCATTCCTGAGTGAAAATCCTTCTACACTGATTACATTCATAAAGTTTCCCTCCAACGTGAATTCTCTGATGGGTAAAAAAGGAATGATCTGTATGGGAAAACCTTCACACATTCATTATTTTTATGAAGCTTCTTGCTAAGACCAATCTTCTGATATCTAATGTGGTCTGGATTTCAACCAAAAGCCTTTTCACACTGATGACATGCACATATTTTCATCTCAGTACAAAATCTAGGATGCCAAGTAAGAGATGAATGATGGATTAAGGCAACTGTTCCTCATTCATTATATTCACAAGATTTCTTTCCACGGTGAATTTTCTGATAGACAAGGAGTTTTGAGTTCTGACTAAAGGCCTCCCCATATTAATTACGTATATAAAGTATTTCTTCAGTACAGTTTTTCAGATATCTAATGATATCTGATCTCAAGCTGATTATCTTGATACATTTGTATTTCAGGAGGTTCTCATAAGACTGAATAAGGCCAACCTTTTCAGTAAAGCATTCCCTATATTCACTATACTGAAAACAGTCATTCTCTGAGATAATTTTTTTTTACAGTGAATTCAGACTGAACATGGCCTGAAATTCTTTCTAGCTTTGTTAAATTCACAGTGGCTATGTTGATTTTTCTCTCTCTTCGTATCAGTCACATATTTCTCTCAAACTGAAGTCACAGGGACCATCCCTCATGAATCTTTGCTAGGGAGATTCTTCAACAGAAATGCTTAGCTTTGTAGTAGTCTTATTCACTTGAAAACTGGTCTCCGCATCTGAAGAAAAAACAAACAAAACATACAGACAGACACATACTCATCACACATACATATAAATAAATCCTCTTCCCTCCACTGACAGAAAGTAAACTGATTTGCATTCTATTTCTCAGGTCAAAATGGAGTTTTCAAATGTAAGCGGGCCAGAATCAATCATCTGAAAATGCATCAGCTCTTATCTGGAGGATGATTTAATTTACAAAACTCTTCACAAACAGTAGCATGGGATCCTCACAACAAGCCAATGACACACGCAGAGCAGGATGGTCATTACACTTTACAATAAGCCATGAGCTCAGAATTCCCAAGTAACATGACCAACATCTCTGCAGGTGAGACTAAAACTCAAACCCTGGGACTGAGCCTGCTCTTTTCCCACCCCTAGATAGCCTTGCTCCACTTCACTTTGAATCCTTCATTCAAATACATTTCATTGATTATTCTTTTTTTTTTTATTTTGTTATGCTTGGGTAAGATTCTGGCTTTTCTCTGTTGATGAATTTTGATGGTCATTGGTCATTCTTTGTACAATTCACATGCTAAGCTCAGAAACAAATTGATGCTTTTCAGTTGTCATCTAATAATTTTCAGTGTTAAAGCCCACTTTTCTTAGATCCTATTCAGATCCACATATACGTCATTTCTTACATATATACTAAATATTCATATTATTTCATTATCTGCTATATCTTTATGAGTAGGTAGGTGGTACAGTAGATAGAGTGCCAGGTGTGGAGTCAACTCAGATCTGAGTTCATATTTGACCTCAGACACTAGCTGTGTAACCCTGCGCATGTCACTTAACCCTATTTGCCTTAGTTCATCTTTAAAATTGAGACACGTTAGAGAAGGAGATGGCAAACCACTCCAATATCTTTGCCAGGAAAACCTCCTGGGGGGTCACAGAGAATCAGATACAACTGACCACCACCACTCCCTCTTTGGACATGTAGTAACTTCCCTAGTAATGCCTTTTAATCTTTGTTTTTCAACTGCCATGTCTGACATCACATCATAACTGCCCACCCTATTTTTTTGTATTCACCTGAGGCATAATAGATTCTGTTATGGCCCATAACTTTTTAAATAGTTATTATTCTTTATTTTAAATTTTTTTTGAATGCCTGTGCCCCCTAAATAAAGGAAAAACCAAAGCCCTTATAATAAACACAATCTTAAAAATTCATGAATTTCCCACATTCAAAAACATCATGCCTCCTTCTATGTTGAGTTTATCATCCTTCTTTCAGGAAATGGACAGCATAATTCACTATTAGTCCTTCAGCAGCACTTCCCATTAGGTGGTTCGTGAACACATTGGGGGTTCTTGACAACAGTTCAAGAGGTTTAAGCTAAAAAATCCTTAATGGCACTTTAAGCAGCAAATAAACACCTAATTTTGGTACAAATATATTTTTCCTCTAGGACAAGAAGTATGTTCATGTTTGAAGAACAATGTCAGGTTTCCCTTCCTAATCCATTCTTCCACCCTCCTCTACAGGTGAATTCATCCCACACACATTTAGTTATGAGAATTGTATTTTCTCCATCATATCCCGTTTGCCCCTGCCTTGATCTTTTAAAACAAGAAGGAGGTGGGCAAAGGGAATGGGATCAACATTAGTAAACTATAATTGACATGGCATGATCCCCGCTCCTCACTCCACCTTGTCTTTCATTCATCCTAGTCCCAGATGACTGGTTGTATCACTATCTGAACAGCTTCATGTTTTTAATTTTCTCTGATAGCCAGAATTAGGTTTGGTGGAGTTGTGAAATGGTCTAACCATTCTGGAGGACAGTTCTGTGTGTACCCTTCGATCCAGCACTACTGCTACTAGGTCTGTATCCCAAAAATATCAAAGAAACAGGAAATGGACCTATATGTACAAAAATATTTACAGAAGCTCTTTCTGTGGTTGCAAAAAATCAGAAACCGAGGAAATGTCCATCAGTCAGGGAATAGCTGAAAAAGTTGTGGTATAACTGTGATGGAATATTGTGATGTAAGAAAGAGGATGGTTTCAGAAAACCCTGAGAAGACATATAAACTGATGCAAAGTGAGAACCAGAAGAACATTGTATACAGTAACAGTGATATTGTAATAAATTGTTCATTAATTTAAAATAACAATTTTTGTCCCTCTGACCTGCCCTCCCATAGGTCAAAAGGAAAAGATAAAGAACTCTCATACCAAACATCCAAATCACTCCAATATCTGTGATTCCCATCACCGTTACCAATCTGAGAATCTTTCTAATTATTAATGATTTGGATTATTAATGAATGGGATCAAGGATTTTCTGAGAATGGAGACAAATACTGGGTCAAAGAGATTAGAAAAGGGAAATTGGGTTGATCACTTATGCAGCCCTCAGCCTTGGATATTGACTTCCAAGTAAGGCAGTAGCCTTCATTCTTATTCACATGCTGCTGGAGATGAGAAAATCATGAACCAGTTTGGCTGGGTACACTACAAATTTAGGTTGCATTAAGTTCATCTGGGTCATTGCATCTCCTTATATGACTCATAATTCCTCTCACCACAACAGCTTTTCCAAATCTTTTCATCCCTCCCCAAACTTCCTATTTGGTTTGCTCCCCTACACCATCTCTCAGCTGAGAACTTGGCCTTATATTTCACAGAAATATTGGACGTTTGCCAACAGCTCTCCTTTTTCTCTTTTGTCCCCATCTCTCATGAAGAATATCACAGTCAGTATCACACAAGATTTAGCAGCTTCTATGTTAAAAAAAAAAAAAGAGAGGGTTTGGAATATATTCTAGAAGGCAAAGAAGCTAGGATTACAACCAAGAACAACTTACCCAGCGAAACTGAGTATGATCTTTCAAGGGGAAAAAAAAAAGAACATTTAATGAAACAGAGGCTTTGAAAAAACATTTTTAATTTTTTTTGTTATATTTTAAGTCCCGAGCTGTTTCTCTCCCTCTCTCCCCACCCCACACTAGAGAAGACCACCAATTCTCACACACACACATTTACATATATTACATACATATTTTATATTTTGTAAAACCATACTGTGCATACTTCTATTTATCAATTTTCTGGAGGTAGATAGCATATTCATAGGTCTTTTATAGTTGTTCTGAATATTTTTAATACTTAAAATAGCTTGGATGTTCACAGTTATTCTTTAACAATATTGTTACTATATACAATGTTCTCTTGGTTCCACTAATTTCATTCTTCATTATTTCATGCAAGTCTTTCCATGCTTTTCTAAAATCAACCTGCTCATCAACTCTCATTGAACGGTAGTATTCCATCACAATTATATAACACAACTTGGTAGCCATTCCCCAATCAATGGGCATTCCCTCAATTTCCACTTTGCCACCACAAAGACAGCTATCACAAATACTTTATAACATATAGGTTCTTTTCTTTTTTCCCTGATCACCTTAACAAACAGACCTATAGTGGCAGTGATGGGTCAAAGTGTATACCCAGTTTTATAACTCTGGGCATAATTCCAAATTGCTCTCCAAAATAGTTGGATCAGTTCACATTTCCACCAGCAATGTATTAGTGTTCCAGTTTTTCCACATCCCCTCCAACATTCGTCATTGTTCCTTTCTATCATTTTAGCCAATCTGATAGGTATGAGATGATGTCTCAAAGTTGAGTTTTTTCCTTTAAAGATGCATTACTTTAAAATTTTTATTTTTAAATTACATAATAAAACAAACATTTCCATAACAGTATAATTTTTTAAAATTGTACATGAAAATGCAAATCTGTTTTATACAATTTGCTATTCCTTTTAAATATATAAAAGTTATCATGTAAATTTCTTTTTTTTCTTCCCTCCCTCACATCCTTGCCCTAGAGATGACTACCATCAGGCACAAATACACACACATATCATATATACACTATACATATATATATATATATATATATATATGTACGTATGCAAAATCATTCTATGCAAATATTCATCAGTTTTTTCTCTGGATGCAAATACTGTCTACCTTTAGATGTCCTTTGTAGTTAATTTGGGTATTTATAATAGTCGAAATAACTTATTCATTCAAAGTTATTCTTTAAATATTGCTGTTACTGTATACAATGTTTTCTTGGTTCTGCTCATTTCTCTCTTCATTATTTTGTGCAAGTCTCCACGTTTGTCTAAGATCATTGAGTTCATCCTTTCTTATGGCACAACAGTATTACTACAATCATATACAACTTGTTCAGCCATTCCCCAGTGCACAGGCATCCCCTCAATTTCCAGTTCTTTACCACAAAAAGAGCTGCCATAAATACTTTAGAACATGTAGGTTCTTCTCCTTTTTCCCTAATCATCTTTGGAAACAGACCTAGTGGTGGTATTGCTGGGTCAAAGGATAGGCAGTTTAATAATTCTTTGGCCACAATTCCATCAAAAATGAATTAGCATCCTATTTTTTCCACATCACCTCCAACATTTGTTGTTTTCCCCTTCTATCGTTTTAGCCAATCTGACAAGTATAAAATGATATCTCAAGGCAGTTTTAATTTGCATTTTGCTAAACAATAATGATTTAGAACATTTTTTATATGACTATAAATTGTTTTGATTTCTTCATTGGAAAACGGTCTGTTAATATCTTTTGACCATTTATCAACTGGGCAATGACTGCTATTCTTATTGTCATTTTTATTATATTGGCTCTGCCCACCCATCTTCAATTACTATTTCCCCAATTATTTAAATCTGACTTTATTTGTACAAAAAATGTTTTGTAATTATGTTCCTGTAATATATCTTGGCAGATATATTCAAATTATAGGACTTTCAAGCATTCCTGATAAAAAGACCAGAGCTAAAGAGAAAATCTGACGTTCAAACAAGAGACTCAAGAGAAGCATGAAAAGGGGCTCTTCAGAAGCCTCATGGTGCCTTGGAAAGAATGCTGAACAGGACCCAAATTCCAGTTCTATCTCTGCCATTTAATGCCGGTACAACTTTGTCTAAGTCACTTGACTTCTCTTGTGCCTCCATTTCTTCAGCTGTAAAATGAGGTATTAGACTAGATGACTTCTAAGGGCTCTTCCAGAACTTCAATTATGTCACCCCATAATCTTATGATTCCTTTCTCCCAGAGTCTAATTCAATGTGAGCTTTTAATGCTCACATAAGAGAGCCATTTGTTTATGCCTGGACTCCATGTTCCCACAAGGCTGAGGGCTGAGACCTTCTCTGAATGTCTAACATTGGTTTCTTTATGTGGCACAGCCATGGCACCCGATACAGGTTGTGATTGTGAAGGTACACTTTCTGCACACACCATTTACCAATCTAGGGAGTCTCGTGAGGGAAGCCGACATAGAGGAGACAAGGAGAGAAAAAGCATTTGTGCTGGGCTTATCAAGGCTGATCACAGTGACTAGAGTTCCAGCAGAAGACAGCAGAGCCCAGACCGAAGGGGTCAGCACAACCAGGCCTGACACTGTAGCATGTTTACCCTACACTGTTGACCCTCTCCCACCATGTTCAGGAGACTTAGATGTTAATTGGGAACTAGAGTTAATGCTTCTGGGAAACACTGAGTGGAAAGCAGTAGGAATGGCAGACACATGGGTCCAGGTGCTAAGAATATTTGATGGCTGAATCAAATATTTATTACTGTTATTTTGTTTTTTCTTTTTCTTAAAAAGAAAAGAAAAATAATAAGCCTTTTCTAGTCCTCTTTAATCTTAGAGGCTTCCCTCTCTTAATTAGCTCTAATTTATCCTGGATATAGAAGGTTTCTGAATAGCTGCTTTCATATTGTCTTCCCCAGGAGACTGTGAACTAACTCCCTGAGAGCCAGGACTGTCCCTTGACTTCCTTTGTTTTCTATGGAACTTAGCACGTCTGACACATGGTAGGTGCTTGGTGATTGTTATCTTGAAGAAAGTCTAGGAAAAATCTCATATGGGACAGCATGAGTCCTCTGGGAATGCTTTCAAGAGAGTTCCATGCTCCAAAATTCTAAACAATGACTTCTCAGAATTCCATCCACTCAGATTTATCACAAGAAGGGAAGTGAAATCCATGGAGTCCAACCCCCACATTTCAGAGATGTGAAAACTGAGGCTCAGAGGTTCAGTGACTTGGCCAGGATCACACTGCTAAAGTGTCTGAAAAAGAGGATTCCAATTCAGGCTTTCTTGCCCCCAAATTTAACACTCCCTGATCTACCACACACGAATACTGCTAGTGATAAGTCCTCATTCACTTGCTTTCATCTCACTCACCTAGACAGAAGGTCCTTGGGCCTCCAGGCTGTAGCATCCAAGATTCCTCAGAATTGGAGATCAAATCTTCTCTGAGAACTAGAATTCCTGTGCATGGAGAATAAGAGAGGGATGAGGATGAAGAGAAATGTATAATTTATTCCTCTTTAGGGAAAGGGGACACCCAAGGAGGACCACAGGATGGCTCCCAGGCCTCCTCAAAGATGGTCCACGTGGTATTTACTGTAGGGAGCAGATCACGTAGCCAATTTGGAATTCTGAAACCCTATCTCCGTCTGCATCCTTCACGGAAGGATGGGCACATTCCATAGCTTCCATTATCAGGAAATTAGGACCAATTAGTAATGCAGTGATGAGAGCCCTGGGCCTGGAGTCAGGAAGACTTGTGTTCAAATCCAGACACTTAGTAGTTATACGTCCCTGAGCAAGTCACTTGACCTATTTGCCTTTGTTTCCTCCACTGTAAAATAGGGATAATGACAGTACCAAATTCACAGGGGTTTTGTGAAGATCAAATGTAATCACCAGATCAAGATGTTAAAAAGGTTTGCATTCTTGTGGCACAGATGGTAGAGTCTTTGAAAACTATTAGAATTAGGCATTCCATTTACAAGCCATTTTGAAAACATCACGGACCATCACAAATGCTCTATAAAAACAGACCTTATATGGCCTCTCACTGTTGTTTAAAGCTGTTTTCTGACTTTAACTTATATTCTACTAATGTTAAAATTCTTCCATCTGGATTTGGAAGAACCTAGTTAACAACCTGGGTGAATCATTCAGTAGAGTTTCTGTGGAAGTCTAGCCTGTGTGCCAGTGGTAGAAAAAAGAAAATTATGTTTGAAGAGATTTTTTCTCTTACATTATTTTACACATAAATGCTATGTAAAAAAAAAACACAACTATGCAACTGAACTTCAAGTACATTCACCATTTAATATACTACATGTCATAGCTGTTATTCAATTGTTTCAGTCATGTTCAACTCTTCATGACTCCATTTCAGGTTTCCTTGGCAAAGATACCAGAATAATTTACCATTTCCTTCTCCAGCTCATTTTATAGATGAGGAACTGAGGCAAACATAGTGAAGTGATATAACCAGTGTCACATAGCTATTGAGTGTCTGAGACCAGATTTGAACTTAGGAAGATGAGTCTTCCTGACTTCAGGCCCAGAATTCCATCCACTCAACACTTAGTTGCCTCTACATGTCATTAGACAATAGAAAAATAAATTTTTTATATAGTAGTTAGCAATTCATTTTGTTGGCTGGCTGGTGGTCTAAGAACAAAAAGTGAATTTACATCTCCCATCAAGAAAACTTGTAAAATTCTCTTGCCATTATCTCCTTTAAAAATTTGTATTTTTACTGTATTCAGTTTATAACTCAAAATACAGCTGGTGGCATGGTAGATAGAACATTGGGTCTTTAGTCAAGAAGACTTGAGTTTCCCACCAACTGTATTATCTATTGTTCTCAAAAGTTGAGAATAAATCATCAGCTCCGTGTTCTCTCATTCATTCATTTTCAGCAGCTCTCCTTGAATTTCTGATATTATTGTCAAGATGTTTACCTTTGACCTGAACTACACTATACCAAAGGTTTCCATTTTTAGAACTGGATCCTGGTTTTGGAAGTGGAAGGGACCTCAGGAATTCTCTAGGGTCCAACACCCTCACTTGAAAGATAGGAAACTGAGGCCAACAAAGCCCCAGTTACTTGTTTTTCACCCAGATGGTAACGATTGAGAACTCTATAATTAGCACTCTTTCCATCATACCACCCTACCTCTCACTGAAGGAAGAGAAGCAGTCAAGGAGTTTCACATATAAAGTTATCAAAGGCTTTATTGAAATTCAAGAAAAGCCATCGTTGGAAGGGAAGGAATAAAGCTAAGAGGATTCTCTAAAGCAATGTGCAACAAACAGGTAATTTCCTTAAATATCAGGAAGGAATTTGAAATAATCTTTGAAAATAAACAAAACTGACCCACAAATGTTAAGAAACATTCATGTCAAACAATTTTAAATGACAAAAGGTCGGCAAGACTTGAGCTCCTCGTGGAAAACACCCACGCGCTGGAGTCCTCCAGGAGTAATTTATTACAGTTGGTTTCCTTGCAAAATGCTTCCTCGAATTGCTTCTACTGTAGGGCAGGGATGTCACCGTGTTTTAAGAACTCTGGGATTTTTCAGGCAGAGATCTGGACTCAGTGACCACTCAGGTCCCTCCTGCACCAACATGCCATGATTTTTTCAGCTGCTCCATCATCCTCATCTGTCTTTTTTCATTTGCTTAACAGTCTTAATAGTTCTAAGTCAGGGATCCATAAACTTTTTTTTTGTGGCACGGACCCCTTATCAGAATAATATTTTTAAATGAATAAAGTAAAATACACAGGACCGCAAAAGAAACAAATTACACTGAAGTGTAGTTATCAAAATATTTTTAAAAGCAAATTCCTGGACCTCATGTTAAGGACCCCTGCCTAGAGAGTTTAATGATGATCTGAGAGCTGAAGAGTATGGGGATAATAAGAATAAATTGGAGCTCACATTTTATAGGGCTTTAAGGAGGTTCCTCATATTATTAACCCTTTCGTGTTAGTCAAAGTTTATCATTCCCATTTTACAGATTAGAAAAATCAATGTTCAAATGATGTACCCAAGGTTCAGGTGTTAGGAATGGCAGAATTAAGACAATGAAACCAGATCTTCTGCCTCCAGCTGCAGACAATGTTTCCCCTTCAGCTTCTCTATTCCTATGAATCTGACTCCAATGAAACCCGCTCCATCTTCCTCAAAACAATGTCGCTTTTCTAGTCCTCCAAAAAGCTAAAGGACACATCCCATCTTTCCATTAACAATCAATAAACTGTGTAGAGGCTAGGAGCATACACTGTAACATGGCTTGTTTGGAAGTATCTGTTGAGCCAAGAGGAAAAGTATCCATACGTTTAAAATTTGGGGTTTGGGGACTGGACTCACTATTTCATCGGCACAGGGAATAATGTCTGCCACTGCAGACCAGCACCTGCTTGGCAACTCATCAATAAAACAGCAACAGAAAGCATTTATTAAGTAACTACTATGACCCAGACCCTGTATGGAAGTGCTAAGCAAAGACAAAAACGTGAAGCCATCCCTGTCCTGCAAGAGCTTGCAATCCAGTTGAAGAAGGCAACACGGGCACGTAAAGTCTCTACAAAACATAATCTACACAAAGTGGCTATAAAGTAATTGGGAGGGGGAGCACTAGGGAGACTCAGGAAAAGCTTCATGTAGAAAAGGTAGCATCTGAATGGAGCCTCAACGGAAACCAGAGATTCCAAGAGGTAAGTGGGGAGGAAATGAATTCTAGCCAGGAGGGACAGTCTGTGCAAAGCACGGCTCCGAGTACCAAGGAAGAGGAACTGCAGCACACAGTCTGGCTGGACTGTGGCGTGTGTGTCTGAAGGAGAGGAAGAGCAGGAAGGTTGGAAAAGGGCTTTAAATGTCAAATGGAAAAGTGTCTGTTTGATCAGAGGCGGGAACAAATAGGTCATCGCCACTGGAACTGACTGGGTAGGGGAAGCAGCATAGTCAGACCTGTGCCTTAGGAAAACCATTTTGGCAACTGTTGGAAGGATGGATTGCAATGGGGTGAGACTTAAGGCAGGGAATCATTCAGGAAGCCACTGAAATAGACCAGGAGAGAAGTGATGAGGGCCTGGAGCAAGCCCTGAATTAGGCCGGGTGACAGTAGATGCAAGAGATATAAAAAAGAAGCTGTGAAACAATTTGGCAACTGGGTGGCTGTGTGAAGGGAGAGCAGAAAGGAGTTCAGTTGCAAATTTATAGTCTTACAGAGTTGCCTGGGGCACAGAGAGATTAAGTGACTTGCTGAGGGTCACACAGCTTCTGGACTAGAACACAGAGGAGGGAGGAATTCTCTATGAACTATACCATGCAGCCACTCAAATTGAGATCACGAGAAAATGCTAATGGGGCACAAGTGAATTTCGTATCAGTCACTCACACGTGACCAAATTAGTTATTTTAGTTACAAAGGAAAATTCTGAATCAGATAGCAATAGAGTAATTTAATTTCTCAAATTTGGGGGTTTCCATCCTCTTAACTTGAGTCTCAGTTCAAATTGAGAGCTGTTGAACACATTATTCTTCAGCTCTAATTATGATAGCTATAACTAGCACACTCTTCTTAAAACCTCCACCAATGATTAAGAACTTATAATGCATCGAGTGGCTTACAAAATACTTTACATCTGATTTTCACAACGATCTTGTAATGTAGATGGTACAAATATTATCCCCATTTAATGGATAAGTAAAAGTGGCTTTAAAAGGTTAAGTGGCCTTTCCAAATTCATACATCTAATATAGCAAAGCCTGCCAGCTGCCTGATATGTGATTATGATAGAGAATTTTTCAGGACTAACCATGAACTTCAGGGACCCAGGCTTATAACCCAACAGGCATCAGCCTGTAGACAATTTCTAGAAGGCAAATCCTCCACCAGATAAAGAACAGGCTGGACTGCAAGTCTTTCATCACTGACACCTTTGGGCTCAAAATAAGAAATCAGCAGGATTGCCTACGGTGCTACTCTGTCTTCATTATGCAAAGTCTCTTTTCACTGAGCCCCAGCTGGAGGATTGAACAATTCAATTCAAAAAACATTTATCAAGCACCTACCATAGTAGGCGCACACACAAGGACTAGATACAACATAGAACATCCACGTAACATTTAAATGTGAAAACAATTGAGATTATTAGGAGGTAGGAAAAGGAAATAAGAGTAATCTCCACGAGCTAACTCTAGAAGTACACCCCAAGAGGAAAAAATGAACTCAATTTTAAGAGTGGCAATATTTAAATTTTGTTAATTCCATTTCAGATATATAAGTTCTTAGCTCTGCCACTTACTACTACCTAAGTGACTTCGGGTAAGTCCCTTAATTTCTATGGGCTTCAGTTTCTTCATCTGTAAAATGGGTATAATACTACCTGCCCTACCTATCTCAGATGAAAATATATTAAAGTGGCTGCAGCATAAGCTATTATGATAATCTCACTAGCTTTATATATGGAAAGTTGAAAAGAATCTGCAAAAAAATTTATGATGAACTATTTTTGCCATCAAGAACTGTGGGGTCCAATTCTTTGTGACCCCATTTGGGGTTTTCTTGGCAAAGATACTGGAATGGTTTGCCATTTCCTTCTCCAGCTCATTTTCCAGATGAGGAAACTGAGGCAAACAGAGTTAAGTGACTTGCCCAGGGTCACACAGCTAGTAAGTGTCTGAGGCCAGATTTGAAATCAGGAGGAGTCTTCCTGACTCCAGGTCTGGTACTCTATGCACTATGGCACCACCTAGCTGCCCCTACTAGTATATAAGTGCTATTAAGGCCAGGAAGGATCTTATTTACACCTTGCCCAAAGACTAGCACAATGCCCCTGAACACAGTAGGAGCTTCCTATATGCTTGCTGAGTTGAAAAGAATGACCATCACAAACTGCCCACAGCTAAAAAGTCAAATAGGTCACCTGATGATACAACTGAGGGCTGCAGAGAGGCCTTCGGGATCATGGGAGCCCACTCCCATTTTACAGAGGAAGAAAATGAGGCCCCAAAAAGAAAAATGACTTTTGCCTTTAGTCATATAACTGGCTACTGTGCCTGCCTGGGTCTGCCTCCAAAAAGGACTGTACTTTTACTTATCTGATTAAATAAGAATGTGTTGCTCTCAATGAGTTGTGGCTGAACTCAAAAATACTCAACTAATTCTGTGGAAGCAAGCTAAACAGTAGTAAACTTCAAAAAGAAATCCCATTATGTGGGTGGATATAAAATTTTTTACAACACCCTTCCACAGGTTAGGAAGTGAGCACTCATTTTGTTGATTCATTTCCATGTCCTACATTTTATCAAGGACATTTTTAAATTAAGAAGGATGAAAGAGAGTTACTCTCGGAGATCACATCATGGTTTGCACTGATAAAAGTCCAGGACTTAATTGCCAGTTTGGAATTTCAAGGGCTCAAAAAAAGAACATTAAAGGAAGCAGGTTCTTTCCAATTCTCCTAAATACTTCGGACTTACATTTTTTAGCAAACAGTATATATTCTATTATGTATTTGTGTACCTGCCTTATTCCCCCCCTCCCCATTAGACAGTAAGCTTCCTGAGTGTGAGGACCGTCATTTGCATCTCCAGCACAGCAGAGAACCTCGAGCACTGTTAGCAATGAATAAGGTGGTTAAATAAGGATATACACTTCAGTTGTTTTCACTGGTGGTTCAAGGTCAGTAGCTTTTCCAATATGTTAACAACCCATGTGTTAATAAATACCTCTTTAATAAAATAAAATTCATCAAAACTACCGGTCAGAATACCTACTCCCAGGCCTTTTGAAGCCAACAGCATGAAGATCAGTGTTGCCAGACTGAGGAGTGTGGTAAGGTGTAGGAAGCCCGACTGGAGAGGGACAGCGGAGGAGGGCTTTGCTGATTCTGGAAGAGCATGGTCCCTGCCATCTTCTCAGCTTGAACTCGGGAATTGGTGACCTTCAAGGATGTGGCCATGGAACTCACCTAGGAGGAGACACAAGTGGACCCAGTTCTGAGGACTTGTTCAGGGATGCGATGCTGGAGAACTGCTGGGACCTTGTCTCCCTGAGGCTCCATTGCCAAACCAGGTCTCATCTTCCCTTTGAAGAAAGGAGAAGCACCATAGAATCTGCAGAAAGGAGTCCCAGGAGCCACCTCTTCTGAGTCACAAAGTCCAGTGGCAAGACAAAAGTCAAGATGACTGGTCATGTCCCAGATGCAGTCTTCCATGTCTCACCAAACTCCAAGCCCTCCACAGCACCTGCCTCAGCTGCCTTCAGGGCAGTTGGAGCAAAATGTTCTCATCTCCCCATTCCTTCCCGCCCCCAGTGAAGTCTCCACATGCTTGAAGACCCAACTCAACAGCAGGTTTGGGGCCTGTTACCCTCAACCTGTTTCAGCCCATTTGCTGAGATGGTTTACTGGGATGTGGCTGTTGTACATGCCGCAGCTTCTTGGAGCCACAGATACTCCATCCACTAGAGATACCTGCCACTCAGCTTGGTGTCCAGGCGGCTCCTGGACACTTCAGTATCCATGGACCTGAAAGCTCTAATCAGCAAAACTGGGCACCCCCCCAAAAAAGAAAGAAGCCCCAAGAGATAGGAAGGCTTTGGAAACCAAGCCTGAGACTCCCTGAGACACTTCCAAATGAGAATATTCTAGGAGAAGAATTGCTGAAAAGAAAATCCTTTGTTCAGACTTTCACCCTGATTAGCCAGGCAAAACTCAAGACGAAGAATTACGAAGAGCTTATTACAAAAGCACATCAAGATAGCAACAGCTTGAAAGGCTGATCCCCGGAGATCAGCCATGGCTTCAAGGTGGTGCCAGCTTTTACTGATACCTTTCATAATGAGATAAAGACCATTAACTTTTCTTTCTTTTTTTTTTTTGAAGGCTCTATCCACTGGACCAGCTAGGAGCCCCAGAGAATTAACTTTCGTAGGTGGCACAGTGGATAGAGAGCTGGGCTTGGAATCAGGAAGACTCATCTTCATGAGTTCAAATCCAGCCTCAGATACATACTAACTTTGGGACCCTGGGCAAGTCACTCGACCCAATTTGCCTCAGTTCCTCATCTGTAAAAAGAGCTGGAGAAGAAAATGGCAAACTACTGTATATTTGCCAAGAAAACCCCACATGGGGTCAGGACTGAACAATAACACCCCCCTAAAAATGGCTTCCTCTCAGCCCAAGTCACAGTACAATTCCAAAAACATCTGTTAAGCGTCCACCAAGTGAAAGGCACCTAGAGATCACTTCCAGCAGAGTGAAGGAGGGAGGAAATGGGGAATCAGGGAAAGCTTCATGAAGATGTGGTACCTGAATCAAGCCTTGGGGGGAAAAAAGGGATTTCAAGAAGCAGAGACAGAGCAGAAGGAAGGCTGAGAAGCTGAGTTGAGCCAAGGCACAAAGAGGAGAGAATAGGGGAGGGGAGGTAGTAAAATGTCCAATCTGTAGAATGTAGATTATATGATGCACAGTACTGGAAGATAAAGCTGGAAAGTTAGCTGAAGTCAGGTTATGCTGGAATGCTAAGGTAGAGAGTTTCTATTCTATTCCCAAGCTAATAAGGAGCCACTGAATGCATCTGAACAGAAGAGTATTGCCTTACAATATATACAGAAGAACGGTGGATTAATAGACAACTGGGGGGGGGGAGATACAGCATTAAACAGAAAAGACCTCACACAGCTTCATTTTTCACACCCTGAGGAAAGCAGAGGCCCAAGGAGCTTTAGTCAATTAGGGCAATAAAGTTTTCAAGCATCAGAGGCAGGATTTGAACCCGGGTCTTGGGTGTCAACTGTCAAACAGTGTTTCTCCCACTGCACCACACTGCCTTGTACTCCTACCATTTTTTCACTGCTATTTCCAGAAGCTGGTCTCATAATGCTTTACCTTCACAAAATTTCAGTTTCTCCCAAACTCTGGTCATCTTCTGGTCAGTTTTTCCTTTTAGCCCATCGAGAGCTCTAGCTCAGGGTAAGTGGGATGGCCGCGGTACCATCATCACTGACCTCTGACAGAAAAGCAGAAAGGCTTTCTAAGGAGGCGTGTGCGTGGGTCAGACATCCAGGACAGGCGGTGGGGGGCTAAAGGGGGCTGGGGGAGCCCGGGGATCCCACAGTAGTAACTCCCTGCTCCGGGCGGGGTCCCTGCCGGCGTACTCGAGCCCTCACCCGCAGCTGCTTCTCTGCAGACAGTGTAAAGGCAACTGGCCTCCACCGGCCCGGCCAGGACGGTGAGTGCTGAGGGATGGGCAGTGAGCGCTGACCGACAGACGGCGGGCGCTGAGGGATGGACAGAGCTCACTGGGAAGAGGCTGACCCAGAACTCAGGACGGCCTCGGAGGTCACCTCCCAGAGGGAATACTCACCGCCGCACCAAACACCCTGGCAACAGGCGGCACTCCCCAGCTCCCCGTAAGAATCACTTCCGAGGCCAGCCAGGCGGCACAGTGGATAGCGCACCGGCCTGGAGTCAGGAGGACCTGAGTTCAGATCCGACACTTGACACTTGACACGTATTAGCTGTGCGACCCTGGGCAAGTCACTTAACCCTACTGCCTAGCAAAAACCAAGAATCGCTCCCGGGGCCCCAGTCCCGACGTGTCCCCCCAAATCCTCCCGGGGCGGGCTGCGTTCCGCATGCCTGGCCACACCGGTGCGGGGGTCCAGGAGTCAGTCAACAAGCACGTCCTAAGAGCTAAAAGCGGGGGACATAAAGGGGGGGGGCCGCAGGCCGGCAGAGGCCGGACGCACACCCCAAGGCTCGGGCCACCCCGGGGCCTCGGAAAGGGGCCGCCTGGACAGCCCCGCGTTGGCCGCGGCCCCGAGCAGCCGCACCGAGGGACGAAGGGGCCTTTTCACGGCGCTTTGAGACGCTCCCATCACGGCCGCCCCGGGGTGCGCCCAACTAAGGTGCCCGCGACTCCTCAGGGGCTCCCCCGGGCCCCGGGCCCCCGGCCCCGCCTCACTCACCGCCTCAGCCACCTCTTCCGGAAGCCCGCGTTCACCTGCCCAGCGCCGCCAGCCGAGCACCGGCACCAAGAGCCGCTGGGGGAAGGGAGGGGAGGAGCCCGCCGCGGGGCACTCTGGGGCTTGTAGTCCACGCGGGGCGGGGCGGGCTGGAGGGGCGGGGCGGCATGGGGAGGAGGAGGGACGCAAAGGCGGTGGGGCGGAGCAACAGGGGAGCGGCCCTGACAGAGGCAGGAGGCGGGTGGCTGAGCCCCGCCCCGGGCCCCGCCCCGAGGAGACGGATTGGCAGCCACTTGGGACTGAGAGTCCTGGACCATTTTCACACTCCCCACCCCTTTTCGCCTGAGAAATATTTTCTCAACCCTGGGTATGTAGGTGTATAAAATAGGTATACAAATCAAACATTCTCTGATAATAAATCATAAAGAAATTTATTTTAAAACAATTCTTTGGCATACATATAATTTTACCATTTATTAAAAACTAAAGTAAATTTGCATACTAATGAGAGGGATGTTCTCATTTATTTTTACATAAAGAACTAGGAATATTTGATACTGCAGGCCATAGGGCATCTTAAGCGTTTTTTTTCAGAGTTGTTTGATATTTTTATTTTATAATCGCCAGTGCTGAGAATGCTGCTCCCCATAAATGCGTAGTACAAAACGGCAGAAAGTGTATGTAGGGCCATTTCAGAAATTGTGGGAAATTCTGCCTCCCGAGGCAAAATTCATTTAACCAATTTGTAGGTACAGCAAAAACACCGCAATTCACAACATACAATAGTCTCAAATCTGAGCCGAGGTGTTCCTAGTGACGTTTCTTAGCATTGGGTAGCACGACCACACGCACGGTGCAAAGTGCACGTATGTGTTCAGAACCAAGGCCGCAGTAAAGTCCCTTGATGCAGTACAGGCAAACATTGCTAGAAGCACCTCAGATTCATTATGCATTTGATTTTGAATTAATTTTTGTTCGTTGCATGTTCAGAAACCTTTGACTGTTGCCAAATTTTGCAGGACCCCCACATTCAGTCAGGCGTTCACAGTTTAAGAAGCCCTGGTCTACACTGTCTTCTACAGGAAGGATTTCTCAACCTCTCTTCCCTCTGTTAATTATTTCCTGTTTATCCTGTATGCGGCTTCCTTTGTATTTCTTTGCATATTTCTTCCCCTTTTACAGTGTAAGCTCCTTGAGGGTTCGGGCTGGGTTTCTGTGCTTGTTTGCTTTTGCTTCTTTTTGTATCCCCCAGCACTTAGCATAGTGCTTGGACAGGGCATTCATCCTTCATTTTCCAAGAGGACCAATGACATCACGGGGTGAACTGGATTTAAATGAGACAGAGCTGCCCAAAAGTCATCTCACTGTATTCCAGAGTCATCAAAGTCCTGTGGCAATACAAAGTCAGGAAGAGGGGTGAGGGTCCAGGATGCAGCAGAGGACCTTGGCTTCTTCAACGTCTGCCCAAGCCCTAAGAGCTCCACAGCGCCAGCTTCACAGCCATCGGAACAAATTGCTGTCATCCTCCCAGGGGGAGACAGAGGCCTATCAGTTACCCTCAACCTGCCTTAGCCCCAGTGCCAAGTTTTACTGAACTTGATAAATATTTATTGATTGACCTACTACAGAAGGTGACACCGGCTTTCCTGGCCAATTCAGTCTGCTGGGAGCTAGAGAGAAGGAAAGCACGTTAGGCGAGACAGCCAGAAGGGATTCTCTGGAACCTAATCTCCTATGTTATGGAGGAGGAAACTGGAGCTCTCCTCTTCCCCACGCAGTCAGAGCCAAAGGACCTGAAGGGGAGGGGTGAAGAGGCAGGTGAAGTGGAGTTTAGGTCGCACTCTACCCAGGCCAGACTGTGAAGAAGGGAAGGGTTGAAGGGTCTTGGAATGCCATCAATGGAAGGGACCGAGAATCACAGCTTTAGAGCTGGATGGGAGTGAAGAGGTCATTTAGTCCAGGACTCTCATTTGCATGTAATTTGCCAGTCCAAGTGACTTGCCCATACTCCAACAGGCAATAACTGGCAGCAGGCTCTGAATCCAGGCCCTATGATGTGAAACCCCTGCTTCTTTCCACTATGACAGCTAACTTGCCCTTTAAATTATTTTAAAAGTCATAGAGATTATTGAGGTCATAGCATCAGAGACTATCAGAGACTGAGAGGAACTTTGAAGATTTGCTGTTCAGGTGTGTCAACTCTTGCAGCAAAGATACTGGAGTGGTTTTCGATTTCCTTCTCCAGCTCATTTTACAGATGAAGAAAGTGAGGCCAACAGAGTTAAGTGACTTGCACAGGGTCACACAGCTAGGAAGTTTTTGAGGCCAGATTTGAACTCAGTGAGATGACATGCTGACTGCAGGCCCTATCCACTGTGCTTTGAAAGATTATCCACTTTGATTCTACTCTTTAATCCCCACCATCCAACCTCCAGATTACAGATGAGATTAAGTGATCTTCTCACTAGTAGTTAAAGGCGGAGTTAGTAATAGAAACAATGACTCTGTGACCGACTAGAGCTCTTCCCACTCATGGGAAGAAGATAAAGGGTTGGGGTTTTTTTGTTTTTTTCCTTTTTCTTTTTTTGGGCTGGGCAATGGAGTTAAGTGACTTGCCCTGGGTCACAAAACCAGTGTTATGTGTCTGAGGCCAGGATTTGAACTCAGGTCCTCCTGACTTTAAGGCTGGAGCTCTATCCACTGCCCCACCTAGCTACCCAAGGGTTGTTTTGTAGAGGGAGGTGTTTAGTCTGTGTTCGTTTAGGGGACAGTGGAGAGATAGGGGCCATGGTTCACTGGCATCTATGAAACCCATTCCACAGATATGCCCTTTAAAAAAGAATTAGTTAATTTTAGTTTTCAACATTCACTTCCATAAGATTTTGAGTTCCAAATTTTCCCCCTCTCTCACTTCCCCCCTCCCCAAGATGGCGTGCAATCTGATATTAGCTATACACGTACAATGGATTATGCTCTTTCACAAGGCTGTGAAGCCCTTAACTCCTACCCTCTCTTGGCTGAGGTGCTCAAAGGTATTTATAGGCCCTAGGTAAGATTTGTGCCCCTGGAAAGTTACTGCCCACCAGGGGCTTTGAGCCATAAAGTCAGGAGCTGTTGGAGGCCTGGATTTAGAATTTCTAGAACTTGAATACGAACCCTTGCTCTCCAACCTATGTGATCTTGAGAATGTTGGCCTCCTACAATCTCTAGCTTCTTAAGTGCCCCTTGCTCTAAACGATTTATTTTAATGTCTCCATTTACTATAGCCGTGGGGGAGAGAAAGGGATTGTTTTGAGTTTAGTTTGTGTATATTTGCCTTTACATCTTTCTTTTGCCCCTCCCCCCACCCGACACTATTTCCTGGGCCTGGTGTTCCAACCTTCATGTAGAGATGCCCTCTCTACCCCTCTTATCTTGACATAAAAACTGTATTCCTGTGCCATTTTCATAAAACCATACAATAATTTACCTCATGTTTTTAGTTGAAATCAAGGATTTATTGCCATTTTTATAACACAAAGATATCTTAAATATACAACAAAATTAGTCACACACTTGCTAAAAGTCCTTTACATTTCCCATACTTATGTAATAACCATAATAATATCAATATGGTAAGTGGGTTTGTTTTCCAGTAAAAAGTTCATCAAAAGTTCTACTCATAATTTTTTAATGCTAATAACTACTAAACTGAAGGTCTAGAGACCTCATTGTTGCATGCCTGTGAAACCTGTTCAGTCTGCCAGCACCTTGCCAGGAAATTGAATTGTCTTAGGAAGATTCTGCAGATCACCTGGCAGGATAAGGTACCAGACACTGAGGTCCTTTCTCCAATTAAACTGCCAAGCATTCAAACTCTGCCACAGAGATTGCAGCTCTGATGGGCTGGCAACATCGTTTGAACGCCAATCCTACGCTTGTCAGAAAGACTACTTTACGGAGAACCCACGCAGGGCAAGCACTCACATGGTAGTCAGGAAAAGCAATACAGGGACACTCTCAAGGTCTCGAGAGCCGTGGAATTATTTGTGTGATGTGGGAGACACTGGCACAGCACTGCCCATTTGGCGTGCCCTTATCAGAGATAGCGCTGTGCTCTACGAGCAAAACGGAATTGAAATAGCTCAAAAGAAACTCCAGACGCACAACGTTAGAGCATCCGGCCCACGTGTGCACATGGACTATTTGTGCCCGACCTGTGGTAGAGCGTTCTGAGCTCGTATTGCTCTGGTCAGCTGCAGTCGGATACCCCGTAACTTGACTCTAACATAGTGAAGTCATCCTGGTCCTCTGAGAACAAAGGACAACAATCAATCAATTGTTAACCAATCAGACCTCATTGCCACTTGTGGGTAACATCGACTCATCCACCCAAAGGCACACATGTATACAGAGGCCACCATTATTGCTCTTTGGCATTTGAGAGTGTCCCTGACCCCTTATATGCTGGCATGATTGATAAAATAAGTAATTACCCAGAAACTATCTCTGAATTTTTTATATGTCATAAGTCATAATAATAAGTAATTATAATGCATAATAATAGATTTAAAATAATATATAATATAATAACAATATAATTGATAACATATATAATGTAATAATTTGTAGAACAATCCAACCTTCACAACTTTTTTTAGCAAAACAGGCATAATAGTCAATGGACTCTCCAGTCAACGCAAAGACCTTGAATACAGAGGGAGACAGATTTATTATTTATTAATTAATTTATTAATCAAAAAAATCAAATAAAATCCAGTTAATTAAAAGAAAACAATTAGCAGGACACAACATTACATAATCTGATTTCTAATTGGAGGAAAGATTAAGGGCTTTCTTTTTTTTTTAATCTTTTTTTTTTGGCAGTTGGGGTTAAAAGTGACTTGCCCAGGGTCACACAGCTAGTAAGTGTCAAGTGTTTGGTCTGAGGCTGGATTTGAACTCAGGTCCTCCTGACTTTAGGGCCAGTGTTCTATCCACTGCGCCATCTAGCTGCCCCTAGATTAGGGGCTTTCCAAGTGGGAGGGGGGAAGAGTAAGTTTTAGTCAAGTTGGGAGTAGGGTGAGTAGGCTTTGGGGTCTTTCTTT